TCAATTTCCTCCTCCAGTTCCTCAATACGGGCCTGGGGAACATCAGGGACCCTTCACACCCATGTCCTTCTCCTTCAGATGTTTTCTGAAGGGCAGAAGGGAAGGACCATAGACTTGCCTGGAGCTCCTTGATCTTCTTCTGTAACTGCATGCCCAGGGCTTGCTCATCCTCAATTTTGCTCTGGATTTGGCTGATTTCAAAGTCTTTCCTTTTGCACAAGATAAATGGTGTTAGTGCCAGAAAAAAAACATCTAAGTACACCCACCAGCACTCAGCTGTCAAATAACCATACTTACTTCTTCAGTTTCTCATCTAGCTGCTGCTTATCATTTTCCAAATCCATTATGCTATCATGGGATAGCTTCAGGTCTCCTTCAAGTTTCCTCTTAGCTCTCTCGAGGTCCATGCGCAGCTTCTTCTCTTGCTCCAGGGACCCTTCCAGCTAAACAGAATGAGATCATTAGTGCTCTGCCAGCCATGTTTATTTCTACAACTGTCCTATAATAGCCATATGCTTTTGTTCTTACATCGTCCACTTGCTGCTCCAGCTTGGTTTTAGCTTTGGTCAGAGTATTGACTTTGTCTTCCTCTACTTGCAGGTCATCCAGTGTCTGCTGATGTGCCTCTTGGAGGGCTTTCTTCTCTTTTGTCAGCTTGGCAATTGTCTCATCCAGGACTGCCATCTCTTCTGTGAGATTTTTCACCTATGAATTAAAACATAGTCTAAAACTTACCTGCTGTTGCCATGGCAGTTGCATTTTGCAGTGTTTTGAATGAGGCTTATTTCATCTTTTGCAATTTAGATTAGACAGTGCACAATTTTTCCAGAGCTAACATGTTCTGGTGTAGTAGGCACTTCTACTCTGAGAGTAGCTTCACACATTATGTGACTTCTCATGTGCGTACCTTGTTTTCAGTGGCATGCTTTTCCTTCTCAACTTTGGCCAATGTTAACTCCAGGTCATCTATATCTTTCTTCAGCTCTGAGCATTCATCCTCCAGTTTCCTCTTCTTGGCTGTCAGCTCAGCATTAATTTCCTCCTCATCCTCAGCTCGTTCTGTCACCTCCTTAATTTTGGCTTCCAGCTGGATTTTGGTTTTGATGAGCTGGTCACATCTTTCCTCAGCATCAGCCAAGCTATCTGCTTCCTATGGGGAGACACAGATTTTTGTGAGTTATAATGCTTTGAAGTTCTGTTTGTTGTCTTTTTCTCTCACAGACACAGTATTCAATTGCTTCTGTTTTGTTTTATTATTATTATTATTTTAATATAATATTTGGGGAATTAGGCTGTTCCATTTGTGAGAATAATGAATTAGAGAAGTTGGCAGGTTTCTTGGAGTGAAGAAACTGACTCCTGATTGATAGCTGAATGTCAAATATCTAGCAATCTAGGCATTATGGTATATCTGTGATTAGGAAAAATGGGTCTTTCTCATGGTTGCTTTACTCTACTGCATAAGAACACTGCTTTGAAGGCTGAACAGATAGGGATTCTTCCTATCCAGTTCAGACAGATCTGTCTGCTACTTTGTATAATTGATTAGTGCTACAATTCTCTCTCCTTAGGACAGAAGGGCCATCAAGTCTGATTTGGCATTGCCAGGTTACTTCACTGGCTGGTATGGGACACCCCTGCCACTGTCCATTTATTCAACATTCCAGTAACTCAGAGTGTGTGACTTCTTTTCTTATTGTAAATTATTTATCTTACTACAAGTCTCTGATGGGAGGAAAAAAGCAGTCTGTCTGTGTAACACTTTTTCCAAGGGACAAATAAGCAGTGATATTCACCGCCTGCACTTGGAGCTGCAGGTCATTTTTCTCCTGCAATAGGACAACCATTTTCTCCTCCAGCTCCTTCCTCTTTGCCTCAGATTTTGCAAGCTCTTCCTTGGTCTTCTCAAACTCTTCCTTCATGTTGGCCATCTCCTTCTCAGACTCTGCGCTCTTCAGCAGGGGCTTGATTTTGAAGAACAGCTTCATCCAGGGCCAGTGCTTGACATTCATGAATGAACGAACATTGTACTGGATGCAGAAAATGGACTCCCTGAAATACAGTTCATGTAGTTATTACATACCTTGAGTGTGAAAATTTTAAACTCATTTAACTAAGCATCATGAAAATAAACTAAATATGCATAATATTTACCTCCTTTCCACCATTCTCTGGTACTCCACTCTCATCAGGAAGCCCCTGCATCTGGCTTGTGTGCGAGTGATGATTTCAGCCAGCTTATCATCTCTCATCTCCTCCAGGAGTCCCAGCAGCCCAGCTTTGAAGAACACCTTGAAAAATAAAATGTTGCAGCAGGTAAGCCAGAATAGAGACACAACAGGCTTTCAGCTTTCAGGAGACATTAATGATCATGACCAGTCTCACCTTGGCTTCCTTCCCACATCATTTTTTCCACTGTGCCTAGGAACTTCTTAATAGCTCAGTCCTAGACCTTCAGTCTCTGCCTGAACCATCTTGTTAAAATTTTGGTTTCCCATTCAGCCACTGCCTCAACCATGCCTCTGCCTGGCTGTGGACCACAGTGAACTCTTTTTACTGACTTAATGTTAGATCTGTTTCATTGATCAGGAAATTACTGAGCAGTACCTGATCCTTGGTATACTACCTAGACCTGGCCACAACCAATCTTTAAAACAAGAATTTCTGGCTTCACCTTACACCTTTCTTGTTGTCACAAACCTACTGGATGATTTGGACTCTTAGTTGAATCTGTCCTTGGTTGGTCTTCTTCACTTGCCTTGCGAAAGTACTGTGTGCTTGGATCTTTTTTGGCTGAGGCACCCAAGCTACCAGCTGTGTTACTGCAATCCCTGATCCTCAGGAAGCAACCAGCTCTTACTGCTCTCTGTTTGAACAGAAGACTTATTCATACCTTGGTGTGACCAAATCTGTACTGGGTGTGGTCCACATCAATGGATCCAAGGAGCTTCTCAGAAGCCTTCTTGCTATCCATAAATTGTCCCTCTGGGATAGCACTTGCATTAAGCACTCTATATCTGTAGGAGAAAACAAAGTATGAAGAAATACCCGTTATTGAATTCTCCAATACAATTGAACCCCATAGCCTTCTAAGACTGTCTCTTTGAATTAGTCTAATGCCAGAAGCCAATTCAACCTTTGAGAATGGGATATGGAGAATATTTTTTACTGTTAGTTCAGAATCCAAAATAATCCTAATCCTCAGCAATGTCATATCATCAAGATCTGATAGAGAAGCATTTACATATTACTGCTCAATATCAGTGTAACATATATGTTTCAAGTGCATTTCAATATCCAGGCTATTCGCTTTGGTTTGAATGGACAGCAAGTGGTACCACTCTTACCTCTGTTTGAAGTCAGCATATAGGACTCTGCTGGGGAATCCTTTCCTGCAAATCCTGATGCCTTCTAGCACACCATTGCATCGCAGCTGGTGCAGCACCAGTTCATGTTCCATGGCACCTAAGAAACACCACAATTAGTGACTACCCCACTGTTTGACACTCAAGCTAAGAGCTTCTGCAGTTCAAATTTTACCCACTGTATCTCCTTACCAGGTGTTTTTGTTTCATTTGGGATGATGCAGCGTACAAAATGGGGGTGAGTGCTTCTCAGGTTAGCCATCAACTTGTTTAAATTCTCCTGTGAATGTATGAGATTAATTATTATTAATTGTTATCCACTTAATAGTGGATTTATCAAACTGAATGTTTCAGAATATAGACTTATCTTCCCTACAACATATTGCAGAGCTCCTAGAGGGAAACTCAGAAACTGCAGACATCTGGCTTTGTTGATTTTGAAATTCCTTCATTGAATAATGATTAGTATTATTTTTTCTTAATCTTCTCATACAAATACAATACTAATACAGAGCTACTATATTACAGTTTCCTTCCAGTTAGTATATCTTTTGGTATACAGTTGGGCATTTTAAGCTGTAGATACTGATGATCTGGACTTTTGGCTAAGTCTGACTACAGTCTGATTTGGTAGTAGATTTCACAGAATAGAAACATAGAATGGGTTTGTGTTGGAAGAGACCTTAAAGACTACCTAGTTCTAACCTCCTGCTGTGGGCAGGGACATCTCTCACAAGAACAGGTTTTCCAAAGTTCCATGCATTCTGATCTTGAACATTTCCAGGGCTGGGCATCAACATCTTACCTTGGTAACCAGTTCCAGTGCCTCACCACACCCATAATAAAGAATTTCTTCCTTCTTTTAGTTTAAAACCATTACCTCTTGTCTACAACATGCCTGTGTAGAAAGTCTCTTTCCATGTGATTTATAAACATTCAGTATTGAAAAGTTGTAATAAAGTCTCCCTGAAGCCTTCTCTTCTCTAGGCTCAACAGATCTAGCTCTCTTGGCCTTTCTTTCTAGAACAGTTATTTCATGCCACTGAGCCTTTCCACGGCCCTCCTCTGGATCCATTCTAACAGTTCCATGATCTTCTTATGTTGGAGTTCCCAGACCTGGATGCAGCACTGCAGAAGGTTTCTCACAGTGGTGGAGCATAGAGACAATCATCTTCACCAGCCTGCTGGCAACATTTTTTTTTGATGCAGTCCATGCTATGACTGGCTTTCTGGGTTGCAAATGGGAGCTCCTGGCTCATGCCCAATTTTTCATCCACCTCTAACCTCAAATCCTCCTCTGCAGTGCTGCTCTGAATCCCAATGCTCATCGCCCAACCTGTATTCATGCTTGAGATTATCTTCACACGGGCACAGGACCTTGTACTTGGTGTCACTGAATTTCATGAGGTTCACTTGGCATGATATATCATACCTGTCCAGATCCCTTTGGGTGGTATACCTTCTTTCTATTATGTCAGTTGTACCAGTCAGTTTGATCTCATCTGCAGGCTTGTTAAGAGTGCACTCAATCCCATTATCTATGTTATTAGGAAAGATAATAAACAGTGCCAGTCCTGATTCAGATCCCTTAAGAACACCTCTCAGAGCTAAATAAGTTTTTTTAATTTGGAAGTGAAGCTCAAATAAATGAGCTGTGCTAGCAGTAGTTCAATATCCCTAAATATCTCAACTTCAGCAAAATTGAAAACATTACTGAAAACTGGTCACAAAATGCATTGACTCAATATCTCCATCAAAATTTAAACATTTTCATAGAATCTTACGATCTTAAGATTTTTTTTTTTTAATGCTAGATCTGTTATCTTTTATTTTATGCTATCAGTACTGAAAATTGTCATTGATATTAAAACAGGTGTGGGAAAATTCTCTGATGCCTGCACAGATACTGAGTTTGGCCTTCACTCAGATATAGATAGATAATCTTGAGTGAGATCATAAGACAATGCGCAGGACAACCAGGGGATCAGCCCCAGACAGCATGGGTTTATGAAAGGCAGGTACTGCTTGACCAGCCTGATCTCCTTCCATGACCAGGTGACCAGTCTGACGGATGAGGCTGTTGATGTAGTCTACCTAGACTTCAGCAAAGCCTTTGACACTGTCTCCCACAGTATCCTCCTGCAGAAGCTGGCAGCCTTGGCCTGGACAGGTGCACTCTTCTGGGTAAAGAAGTGGCTGGAAGGCTAGGCCCAGAGAGTGGTGGTGAATGGAATTAAATCCAGCTGGTGACTGATCATGAGTGGTGTCCCCCAGGCATCAGTACTGGGGCCTGTCCTTTTTAATATCTTTACTGATGACCTCAGCAAGGATATTGAGTGCAACCTCAGTGAGTTTGCAGATGACAACAAGGCAGAAGGAAATATCAATCTGCCTGGGGGTAGGAAGGCCTTAGAGAGGGATCTTGGACAGGCTGGATTGCTGGGTTGAGGCCAATAAGATGACGTTCAACAAGACCAAGTGCCGGGTCCTGCATATTGGCCACAACAACCCCAGGCAATGTTACAGGCTTGGGACACAGTGACTGGAAGACTGTGTAGAGGAAGAAGACCTGGGGGTGTTGGTCCATGTTCGGCTGAACATGGACCAGCAGCATGCCCAGGTGGCCAAGAAGGCCAATGGCATCCTGACTTGTATCAAAAACGGTGTAGCCAGCAGAAGCAGGAGGTTATCTTCCTCTGTACTCATCACTGGTGAGGCTGCAACTTGAATACTGTTTTCAGTTTTGGACCCCTCACTACAAGGAAGAAATTGTGGTCCTCGAGTGCATCCAGAGAAGAGCAATGAAGCTGTGAGGGGTCTGGAGCACAAGTCTTATGGGGAGCAGCCGAGAGGATTGGGATTGTTTAGACTGGAGAAGAAGAGGCTCAAGGGAGATATTATTGCTCTCTGCAACTACCAGAAGGGAGGTTGTGGTGAGGTGCGGGTCAACCTCTTCTCTTGTGTAACTAGTGACAGGACAAGATGGAATGGCCTCAAGTTGCACCAGGGGAGGTTCAGGTTGGACATCAGGTAAAATTTCTTCTCTGAAACAGTGGTCGTTCCAGGCAGTGGAATGGGCTGCCCAGGGAGGTGGTGGAGTCAGTGCCCTGTAGGTATCCAAGAAACTTTTAGATGCTGTACTAAAGGACATGATTTAGTGGGGAAGATAGATGTGGTGGCAGATGGATGATTGGGATGGATGATGTTGGAGGTCTTTTCCAACTTTGGTGATTCTATGATTCTATGATTATTCATTCTCAATCTAAGTAGGTGAACTTTACCCTTTTGTAATTTCTACTGAATCCAGAAAAGAGCAAAACTGAAGGAGACAGTTGCAATAAGTAAGCCAAGGATGCAATATCAATAGCTAATTAGATAAAAAGAAACAAGGCAGTTGCCTAGATTGTTTCAGGAGGCTGAACCGTATTATTCTATCTCCTGCAATAAAAAGACCAGACACACATTGAGGTACAGCTTTCATGGTATTTCTAGGGCCTCTTTCTGGTTCTGTAAGGATGATAAGATTAATGTCCAAAACTGAAACACACATTTCAGATCCAGAATAAGTTTACTGTCCTTCTTTGAAAAAAGTAAGTTTGGTACTTACACGGAAAAGAGCTGAGACTGTCTGGAAAGAAGAACCCTTCTTCTTGCCACCCTTTTTGCCACCACCCTCTGAAAATGGAAAAAAAATAAAAAGATCAGAAATCTTTAGCATAGCCTTTAAGATTCTGCTTCAAACTGTATGCTCATATGAAAAAAATGGATTGTGGAAAACTTACCAGCTTCTCCACCATAGGTGGCAAACAGTAAGGCCAGTGTCTTCACAGATGATTTCTGGTACAACCCAATGACAGTTTCGTTCAGGGGGTCCTTGTTCTTCTCAAGCCAGCCAGAGATGTTGTAGTCCACTGTGCCAGCATAGTGCACCAGGGAGAAGTGGGCCTCAGCCTTGCCTTTGGCAGGCTTGGGCTTCTGGAAATTGTTGGACTTGCCCAGATGCTGGTCATAGAGCTTGTTCTTGAAAGAGGTGTCAGTTGCCTTGGGGAACATGCACTCCTCTTCCAGGATGGAGAAGATCCCCATGGGCTGGAAGATAGCACAAAAAGTAACAGAGAAAAATCACGTTAGTGTGAAGCATGTGCTATGAGATTCAGAGGTACCTGTGTATTGTTGGTAGCATCTCTGCCTGAATAAGAGGCTAAGTTTGTCAAGAGTTCTCTGCCAGGAGATTATTTGTCTTTCCTTACCTTTCAGCAGTCTGTCTTCACTAAACTGGTAAGAATGTCTCACCACGTCAGGTTAAAATTGGCAGTAGAACCAGGAGAAGTGGCAGACAAATACAATTGGGAAAATAGCTACAAGATGCAGACTGTCTTGGAAAATTGGGGCATGCCATATTTATTTCCTAAACAATGTGTGTGCAGTTTGATTTTGCATCTTCAGAAGAAAACGTAAAATTTCTCTAGCTATATTTTAATGAATTCTGTTGGTAGGAGTCTAGGCTATCTTTTCCATGCTTGAAGACACAGTGATGCAAGATTGGTGACACAGATTTGCATTTAACTGTACTAATTCCTAAGCACTGGACTAAAGTATTAATTCCAATACAAAATGCCTTGTTTCACTGAAACTGACTGTCTGGCTGCAAGTTCTTTCCAGCTGAATCTGACTGAGAAACATCACAAAATTCCAGAATACATCACACACTTAAATGGAAAAAGTACCTTTTCAATGAGCTCAATGCAGGCAGCCAGGTCCATCCCAAAGTCAATGAATTCCCATTCAATGCCTTCCTTCTTGTACTCCTCCTGTTCCAGCACGAACATGTGGTGGTTGAAGAACTGTTGCAGTTTCTCATTGGTGAAGTTGATGCACAGCTGCTCAAAGCTGTTGAACTGTTTAAAGCAAAGAGAAGTGCACAGGTTCTCAAAGAGGCAACAATGATCACAGGGTCATGTTAGTATTCTTCTGATTCTGTTTTAATTCCCCAACTGAACCGCCAAACCTAGCAATACAGTAATAACATCTAATTCCTTAGAAGGATTCCTACTGTAGAAAAAATGTACTGTCCTTGCAGGGCTTTATTAGGACTATTTTTGAAATCAATCTACAAGTAAAATTTATTTTTTACTGTGCTATTCAAAGATAGATGTTCCAGGAACCTCAGTTGCTGCACCATGGAGGTGTGTCAGCTCTCTGACTTCTGGGAAAATGGAGGCTTCCTCAGTATCCTACACCAGAATTTCTCTGCCCTCAAATCAAGAATATAGAATTTTCTTTGTTTTGACACAGAAGTTCTAGTATCACCACTGCATTCACAGCACAGGAAATATGCTCTATGTTTTCCCACAGCATTTCCCTTTCCTTGGCTCTTCCAAGACTGTTCACATCCCTGGTCCACATCTGTGTAAGCTCCAATAATAGATCTGTCTCTGACTGTGAAATCTAAGATCTTTTCCCAGTCAACGGTGTCTAAATTTGTCTGTCAAAACACAGCATTTTTTTCTATCTGTTGACAATATTAGAGTCAAAGTGTATTCACATAAAGTAATTTAAGCATTCTACTGTGATAGAGAAGAGAGATGGTTATCTCAAAAACAGCAGATTAGGAGCATACTCTTCAGAATCTTCTTAAAAAGAAATGTGTTTCTGAGTTCTCAAAATCTCTTTCTGCCCCTCTTATAACCATGATGCCAAGCTTTTGTTCCTTACATCAAAGATCTCAAAGCCAGCAATGTCCAGGACACCAATGAAGTACTGCCTGGGCTGCTTGGTATCCAGCTGTTGGTTGATGCGAATAACCATCCACAAGAACATCTTCTCATAGACAGCCTTTGCCAGAGCACCAACTGAATTGTGCACCTAAAACAGAGATGAAAGGACTGGGGTTACCTTCTATTGCAGAAGAATATTCACATTATTCTTCAGATCATATAGTTTCATACTTAAGATTATACCTGTGACACAGTTTGACCTTTGGTCACGAATTCATTCCCAACCTTCACTCGAGGATAACACAGGGCTTTGAGCAATTCAGCTGAATTCAGGCCCATGAGGTAGGCAGCCTTATCAGCCACTAGAAAGGGAGAAAGTAAGAAAGAGGGGAGCATTCATCACTGATCAATGGCTAGAATTTGGTCTGTGTGAGCGAAGTTATTGGTGTGCTCTGACTGGTTCAACCTGGAGGAGAGAAGACTGGGAGGGGATTTTATCAATGCTTATAAATATCTACTAAGTGAGAGTCAAGCAGTGGTGTCCAGCAACACAACAAGAAGCAACAGACAAAACTGGAACATAGGAAGTTCCATATTTACAAAAAAAAAAAAAAAAAAAATTACTTTGCGGGTTACAGAGCACTGGAACAGGCTGCCCAGAGAGGTAGTGGAGTCTCCTCTGGAGATATTCAAAACCCGCCTGGAAGCTTTCCTCTGTAAGCTAACACAGGGAACGTGCTTTAGCATAGGGTTAGACTAGATGATCTCCAGAGGTCCCTTCCAACCTTTATAATTCTCTGATAAGTTCTGGGAAGGAGTGAAGATTATGGAAGTTAATGCTCGCCTGGTTTAAAAGCGAGAACAGGCATTGTATGAATAGGGAAAGCTTGAATCTGGAAACTCCCAGAACCACTCCTAAAACCTCTGATATCATACCAGGCATGATTGCAGCCCACTCTTGTTCTGTGGAGACAAATTTTCTGCAGAGCAAGAAATGCAGGACAGATTTTGGAAAAACAACAACAACAAAAAACAGTTATAGTGCTTGAAGGTTTTTCTGACAAAGACCCTTTGTTAAAGTTCCCATTTTCAGGCTGTGTGTTTTTGAAAACACACAACCTGAACTGGATAAAAGAACAGCATTTCTTGTGATCAGGGATGCAGTTAAACAGATAATGAACAAAGAAGCTTTTCATCACTTTTACTAGCTGAATTGGGTGATACCTTCTGTGCCATCTGGCTCTGCCTGCTCCTCTCGCTGTTTCTGCTTGAACTTCAAATTCCCATAGTGCATGACAGCCCCTGTCAGCTTGTAGATGGCAGTCTTTTCATCAGCAGTGAAGCCCAGGATGTCAATGGCACTCTGCAGTGGAAACAGTTAAATAAAATATGTCTTTAGTAAGCCACCCTGCAAGGCATAGAATGGAGGTATCTTTGTGCTGTGTTACTCACATCTGTAGCCATAAGCTCCTCTTGGTCATCAATACTGGGAACGGTAATCTCGCCTTGACTCACATAATGGTAATCATATGGGTTGGTGGTAATAAGGAGCATGTCTGAAAGCAGGGATAGAAA